CGCATAAATTTTTATCACAAAAAAGATGATTAGTTCTCTGGATTTTGTCTACTCATGTCCTCGGAAAAAAAAACAGCTCAAACATGTCACTTTCCTCGCGTCAAAACAAAATTTTTGAAAACAGGTTAAATAATTGGATTTACTAGGGGCGAGGTGTGGAAGTTCATTACTACTAGGGGCGGGATGTGGAAGTTCTACAGAAGGTCTTGGATTATCCTGAAGATTCGGAAAATCTCGAGAATTTGAACTATCCTGAGGATTCGGACATTCTGTAGGATTTTAATTATCCTCAGGATTCGAAAAATCAGGATAATTTATATAATCTGGAGGAAATAATTGTTCCCAAGTTTTTGGATATCTCTCGTGTTTCAGATCAGTCGAAAGCCGCAAAGAGGGAGCAGGACGGAAAAAGTATAGCAAGCGAGCCTAAAATGTTGCTGGAAACCGAAAGCGACTAAATTAGCAGCAAAAATTTTCAATTTATCTGAATCAAGCTGGAAGAGTGCTCGGATATTGTATCACATTCAACTCCTGCAAATGGTATCAATATCAATGCAAACGCTCGAAAATCAGTCGTTGTGCTGAAGACGAATAAACCAATGAGACGTAATACAGCACATTGTATCACAAGAGAACTCGAAATGAAATGCAACATGGACAAAGAGGAATTAGAAAACCAGGCCAGGACATGAGATTGTATCTTTATATTATTTTAACTTTTTTTGAGTTCCTTTGAACAGAATAGAAAGATTAGTTTATCGCAATTTTTATTTGAAAAATTTTTAATCTGAAAAAATAATAAATTATAAAAACATTATAAAATTTTTTGCCGCGATGGTTGAATTTTATGATTTGTTTTGTTACATCCACAAAAATTGTTATCACAAAAAAGATGATTACATCTCTGGATTTCGTCTACTCATGTCCTCGGGAAAAACAGCTCAAACATGTCACTTTATTTGCGTCAAAATAGATTTTTTGAAAACAATTAAAATGTAGGGTTTACTAGGGGCGGGGTCTGTAACTTCTATACTACTACTAACTCCTACTCCGAGCTTCAACTGAATGAAGGCAAATAAAAAACTGGCTGAACTGTCTGTGCATTCTTAGATGAATTTTTTGATTTTCAAAATGACTGAATTTTCATTCGGCGAGTTGTCTTTGCGTCTCTATGTGATTATTGGGCGGTGCAGGGGGCGGATCTAGTTTTTTCTCGAGAGGGGGCGAATTTTCAATGTTTTTTTTTGAATTTTCTGGATACATTTTCCTTCTCTTTAGAATGACAAAATTGAGTTTCTGAGCTCTTCCAAATCACTAAAAAAAGATCTGTTTTGACCTATTTTTTTCTTGTCGTAGGCACGTTTTTCGCGTCGTAGGCAAGTTTTTCGCGTCGTAGTCAAATAACTGTGTCTTCGGATGCGTTTTATTACTTTTTTCCACACAAAACATGTTCTTCATTTGAACCGGTCAAGTTATATACCAGATTAAAATCTGCCACCATTCGACCACAAAAATTTTGTGATGCAGTGATCAAGAAAATTTATTTCGCTATAAATAAGTTTTCGAGCTTTTTTAACGCCTTCCTAGTATGTTTTTTAAATTTGCTGTCGAAAACGCTTTATTTACTTGTACTTTCACACATGCCCAAAATCTAGTATTTCATTCAGGTCCTTTTTCACTAGATGAATGAAAACGACATAAATTGAAAAAAAAAGTCAAACTTTTTAAAAAAAATTGTGTCGGAATTTTTTCTGCTACATGCACTGCAACCCAATTATCTCAATACGAGGCCAAACTGTGTTTTTGTGTATTGAAAACGGATTCCACAAAAAGGACGCTCCTTTTGTTCTTCTTTTGTTTTTTCAATCTTTTTGATCGTTCCGACAAAATTTTACCATGTTTAAAGACTTGTCTCTGGAATCCAGGAATAAATAGACACAAAATTGTGCGCCTATCCAGTGCACAGTTTGGCCTCATAATGCTTGTCGCTTTTGAATTTTTGTTTCGAAAATAATCGATACTTCAAGGAAGCCGGAAGTTATATCACGTAAGGTTGCAGATTATACTGATAAATTCAAATGTGACAGTATAGTTTCCTATCTGAAAATTGATTTGTTGTAACCAACGACAGATGAGCCATGCGTATAAATTAGTTTGCAAGCGCAATACGAGACAAAACTGTGCACTGGATAGGCGCACAATTTTGTGTCTGTATGTTCCTGGATTCCAGAAACTAATATTTGAACAAGTTCCAAAAAGTCACTGAATTCCACTAACTGATTTTCCATGGAATCCGCTAACAACTTACTGTAACGTAGTTTTTGTCGGCAAGTTTAATGTGTCGCGCAATGTGCAACAAGCGAATATAGCTAGTTGTTCTAGATTCTGCAAAATGTAAGTCGAATCCGCAATTGTATGTGGAATCCGCAAACTGTAATTGGATTCCGAATTTTGTTTATTACTGAACTTGCATATGAACAATTGAAAGCTAGAGCTGGATTTCTTGTCTGTAGCGATGAGAATTTCAAAAACAAGGACTTAACCCTTGTCAACGGAGTCCACGAACAAACCTTCAGACGTTGTTTAATTAAATCTGTGGATATCATCTTTTAGTAATTGGGACCAGTGTTTTCGAAACTTAGCACCGAATAAATTGATTATTTTGAGTCACTGGGTTGAGAGTGCTTAGAAACACAAAAACACAACGCACAGCATGTCGCAGATTTATGTCAGCAATTGGGATTCCATCGATCCCAAATATTGTTCAGTATTTGGGATTGATAGAACCCAAAATACTGGAATGATATGGAATAAATATGGAAAAAAAAATCATTATTTGGAGTCATTGGGTTGAGAGTGTTTAGAAGCACAACGCACAGCATATCGTCAATTTATATCAGTATTTGTGATTCCATCAATCCTGAATACTGTTCATTATTTGGGATTGATGGAATCCCACATACTGGAATATTATGGAAAAAATATCGATTAAATTCATAATTTGGAGTCATTGGGTTGAGAGTGTTTAGAAACACAATGCTTAGCATATCGACGAATTAGGTCAATTTTGGGATTCCATCGATCCCAATTATTGGTCAGTAATTGGGATATCATCAATTCCAAATACTGAAGCTGGGTGTTTGACAGAAATTGAGATCTACCGTTGGGCATTTCAACAGGTAGCTGATCAATGGAGTAAATTCGTAAATGAGATATAACTTGCTGGTGACCATCTAGTAATTAAAAGATATAACTTTAAACGCTACTACAAATATACACATCTGTAAACGGAATCCGCAAACAAAATGCGGATTCCACTTACAATTTGCGGATTGTGCTACAGTTGCGGGTTCCACAACAGCTCAATTTAACTATACACATGTCTTTTTATTTGTTTGTGGATTCCATGAACTGTTCTGGATTTCGCAAATACGGTTGTGGATTCCCCAATTTTGCACAATTTTGCAGCGATTTTGAATGGTAGAATTTTATAGGTATTTGTTTGTGGAGTCCAAAACAGCAAAGAAGATCAAAGAAAAGTGGCAATGTTGCAGATTCCGCAATAAATCTGATTTTGACCTGTTGCGGAATCCGCTTACAATGCAAAGAATGCACGTTTTGGCATCGTAATTTGTTTCTTTTCTGACATGGTATATGAACTATAAAACGTTTTTATACACAACATTATAACTAAAAGTTTGTTTTATAAAACATCGGCATATAAAAAAGACTGAATTGTTATTTATACGAATTTGATACTTCTACTTATGTTATACAAGCAGGAGCAATCATTTGGCGTGAAAAGCAATTGCTGCAAAAAATTTTATTTTGTTGATAACTACTTATAGGCATTGTTCCGACCACAGAAAGTAGGGAAGAACTTTGTGATGCTGTGAGCTTCAATTTTTTACCAAAAATTTCAGTTATCAAAAATAATTATTGAAATGGGTCCATTGTTATAACACATAGAAGCCCCAGCAGTCATGATTCGAACCCTTTTATATTATTTCCAAACAAATGCCTCAGTGTGAAGAAAAACCAGTTCAAACTTTTTTTCAGGTATCAAATGCTCAAAAACGTTTCTGGGAAAAAATACAAAAAACTAAAAATTCACCAAATTGCGTGCATTTTGTTGGTTGTTGTATTCGACGAAGATAACTGAAAATCTCAGGTATTTTATTTTTAGACAGAATGAACGCCTATTTAAAGGATTCAGTGCAGGCTAATAGGCACACATGTTTATCGCTATGCTTCCGTTCCAAGCAGGCCCGCTTATTTGCACTCTAGTCTTCAATGTTTTATACACCATTTCTAACGGGAAAATCTCAAATATTCTTAAACTATTGTGATGGGGGATATTCTCATGATGGAGGGACCGAAAGATGGAAGTTTTGTAACCAATCAGAATCGTTAGACGTTCGTATTGGCTAAATGAATTTTGCACAAAACCGAAATCACTATTAACAGAAAACGATTTACAGCAGCACAGCAAAGTTTAGCTAAATAATTTGTCCTTTTAAGCAATAGATTTTTTGGGGTCTACTTAATAATCACCTTTCCTTTGGTATCTACTAAAAAATTGTCACCTTTATAATTAAAAGAAGTAAATTAACACTAGAGCATTCTATGTAAAATTCGACTTTTGCTGCATTCTGACTGGTCAAAAGTTCGACTAACTTAACCTTCTCAACAATCGCCCCCCTTTCTTGAAAGAGGGGGCATTTGTTAAGTAGCTCTTTTGTTTGTTTAATTTTTTTTATAATACCCGACTTCGATTTTGCAATAGCCTGGGTTTAATGGCCTGGACTTATTGGCTTTCTTGGATGTTTTCGCGATTTATTTTAGATTTTTGAACACTCAATTCTGATTGGCTGAAAATAACTGAATTAGATTTGCAACATTCGGTGCCTGGATCACGAGTGCAATCCAGGACAACACTGTATTTTGAATGGAAAAACTGCTCGTGGCGCATCCGATTATGTCAAATAAACTTTGGATGATCATTTTTTCATTGATATTCACAAATTAACATATAATATCTCATGGATAAGAAGAAATAAATTAACAAAAAAGCACTCGATTTCAGAAGTAGACACCAACTCTACTCATTTGTAGTTTCTCATGATACCAATGACGGCTGCCAATCTTTCCCGAAATGATCACGTGACTTTGTATTCTGGTATGACGAAAACAGCATCTCGCTCTTTTTCCCTGGTCTTGTTTCACGTATTCTGAAACAAATAATTTGCCTTGTAGTTTAAAAAACGAGCTATTTTGCTCATAAATTTTGTAAACGTAAGATGCTATGTGTCCGATCTACTGATGTGCAAAAATTCTGAAGGATCCTGACAGCCTAGGACGCTCTCATCATTAGGCCGTAAGTATCTTTCTGAAGAAAACAAAGTTCACGATCTACAAAATCAACAAATTCACGGTCGGCTGGGGGTCGGATCTTTATAACTTTAAGTTTATCGCCCTTGAATGCCAAGTATTTAGGTGAACTTCATGGCACCCGCGAAATGGTACAGAGATGTGTCTTAAACCAATATCTCTTGTCAACAATTGGGCTGAATATCAGTTGTAATAGATATCATTCGCTACAGATTGTTTTTATTAAGTATCTTGCAGCATAGAAACAGTTGGAGGACTTACTAAATCCTTGAATATTTGAAGAGAAAATTCCCCTAAGTAACACCGCCCCCCTCTCCCCACCCGAACCGTAAAATGGCTTTCCCCGTTAATCTTTCCCTGTATCAAAATCTATTCGTGCTTGCCTTCATTTGTCGTCCTCTGGTTTCTATTGGGAGCAGAAGTGCAGCCAATGCAGCCCCCACCCCAGACAGACAGTACACCCCCATAGCCACACGCACAGACACATTCCGCAGCAGCACCTGTGTGTTGGGTGAAACAATTAAACTCTTAAACATGCTCAGAGACCATCCCGAACCATGTGAAAGCAATCAGTACTCAGTAGAACAAAATTGACATAAATCTAAATCTGAGGTATTTTTAAAATATGTGCAGATCATATCGGGATGCACTTTTCGGCAAAAAATTTTTTAGATGGACATTAACTACAGGTTCCACGCAGCAAGGTGGTTCCTATTTTGTTATCCAATTTACTTTTTTTTAAAAATAAAAAAAACTATTCGAGCAGTTTGTTGAAAACTATTTCTTTATAGGGGTGGCAATTCGTACCCTAGGGGGGGGGGGGGGGGGTAATAAACTATTCTAAAGCTATAGACCTATGTACAATTACTGTACATAAACTTAAAAGAATAAAACTAATAAAAGGAAGTGTGTAAATTAAGACGTTATAAAAAGGACAACTGACTTTGTCTCATATCGACCGATGGTCGCATCTAAATTAGTTAACATGTAATAATTAAATACCGAAGGTCATTTAAGACAACTAAAACAAATCACAACATTTCCCACCGGGAAAAAAAATAAAACTGCTTACTAACTAACTAATTCTATATACACCCTTTTCCTCCTTCGCGTATGAACAAAATTTTACAAACTGCGCCATGAAGGTAAAAATACAGCAAGCAAAATAGTATCCACAAGTGAGTGAGAACGTACAATGTACAGGATGAATATACCGAATTTACAAACATACAAAAATAGCACAACTAACTAAACTAAAACTAAGCTAGCGGTAATCAACAACATGTAAATTAAACATGTACACTTGTATCTACAGGTAGCTACTAAAACCAGAGGGTAAGATATGTAAAAAGTTTTTGTTAAGAAACGCAGTTAAATTTTTCATCAAATTCATCCAGTTTTGCTTTCATTTCCGAATCGATTGCCGATAAAATTTCGCTGCAATTGTCTAACTCGTGCAGTGAATCCTTAATGGTCTGGTGAGCTGAATGCGATCCCGACGAGTTTTCATTTAAAAGGGTCGTGATTGGAAAATTTACTGGTCTGACTGAAGGGCATGAATTCTTTGTAGACCAAGTAAGGGTTGTTTCCGCAATGAGGGTTTGTCGGGAAGGGGCCTCTGCTAACGGTGTCAGGAAATCTGACGGAGAGGAAATCGTGAATGTAGCCCTAGATTTGTCGGGAGAGGTCTTATATGAAGAAAGAGACATCCCTGTGCCGTCCTTTTTCAAGACCACGTCGATAAAGCGACGATTTCTGTAAAATTGTGGAGGTCCCACATTCCGGCGTGGTCTTGAAAGCCGTTGTTGGGTAGTCGGGTTGGCTGTGGTTTCCGAAATGCTATCGATCAGGATAGGGCTTTCTTGTGACCCTGTGCAGGAATGTCGATGATCTCCCTAAGGTCGGTGTGCACTGTCAATTGTGAACTCAAGTGTGGAGAGTCGGCGGTACCTGTAACACTTAAGCCCTGGTTAGATTTAGGTTTAATGAGGAAGAGGAACCTGAAGAACTTCGGGTGAGGTTTTGAGTAGCCTCGACCGCGGTCGTTGCACCTGTCAACGACATATTTCTGTCTACTCCTGAGGTGCCTTGTCCAGATTGCCCTGAGGGTGCCATTACTGATTTCTTCGGGGGTGAGAGCTTCCTTTTTCCGGCTAAACTCGAATGATGGTGAAGTTTTTGCCCGGTGGGTGTTTGGGTCACAATGATTTTATTAGGGCCAGGGAAAGTTTTTCCTTTTATAGCCAGATCTGATTTGCGTAACACGTGGCCGTTGTCGAGGATTACAGTATGTTCTGATGAATCAATTATGTCTTCTTTACCAAGTTATAATACGGATCCCTGTTTTTCCTGTTAGTAACCCTTCTATTCAGATTACCTCCCATGACTGCTTTGCTCTTTGAGAGAGATACTGGAGCTTGTCTGATGCCCTCTTGGTTTGGAATGGACGTGACGATCCTTGCTAATGGCCGGTTGTCTTCTGGGTCCGAAGGGCTGTCCTTTTCCTTATCCAGATACCCATATTCTGCCCCGTCATGAAGTTCCCAGTTGCTGGCCTGTTGTTTGGACATGATATCTTTCCCTTTATCTAAATGATCAATATCGGACATAAGGTTTTTCCACCTAGTTTTCGCCGTTCTATTAAAATGTTTTTCGAAAAGGGAACAGCCGATAGCGGATTGTTTCGAAATTCTCAGATTCCAAGTAATTTTCTCGACCGAAGCGTTTAATGGAGGTTTAGGTATTTCGAAGGACATTGCCAGTAATTTCGATTTGATCGTATAAACTAATTTTTCCACTAGCCCGTTGGATCTGTGATTGCCGACTGTACAGTAAATAATTTCGATGTTGAATTTTTCGCAAAAGTTTTTAAAATCAGAAGATAAAAAACATGACCCATGGTCGACTTTAATTTTTCTTGGGAACCCGTGAAGATGACAGTACTCGTTTAAGAAGGAAATCACGTTCTTTGCGGAAGTGTTGCTTACGATTTTGGCCGAAGGGAACTTTGTAAAGCGGTCAATGCAAAGAAGGACGTATTTATTATTTCCCCAGAACACGTCTAACGGGCCCGCAAAATCCAGATTGATTTCTTCATTCACAAATGTCAAAGTCGGAAGTTTTGAAATGTTGTGGGTACCTAGTAACACTTTAATGTTCTTACCAGCTTTCAAGTATTGACTAAACGTTCTCCCGTGGTGGTAAATTTCTCTATAAATGTGAGGCCGCCACAAGTATTCGGCGAATGATTTCATCCCAAACTGTCCTGGATGAGTCTCATGGAGCATCGAGTTAAAAGTTCCCCTAATAGTGGCTGGAACGACTAGTTTGTTGTCGAGAAAACTTAAATCGTCCTTCACGTGTAAGTCTTTGTCATATATTTTCATGTACGCTCCGTGAATACCCATTGGTCGATTTGTATTTATCGTCTCGATCAAGTCCCAAAGCATTTTGTCTTCCCTCGTCATTTTTTATAACAGTTTCTTTGAACAGTAGTTTTCTGGACGAATTGGGGAAATAGGTAATTTTAATTCCAACCTGTATCTTCTTACGAGGTTTGCGTGATCAGTTGAAAGCCGGTCGTCTCTGAATTTGAGGGCGATGTTATGTTCTTCAGGGATAATTAATAGGGGTTCAGTAAATTTGTCCATTGGAACGTCTAGCTGTTTTTTTAGAAGATGGTAAAAAATGTCTGTTTTCGATGATAAAATGTAAAAAGACTTTGTCCGTAAAGGTAATAATTTTAAAATTGAATTTCGAGTTGTCAATGGGTAGGCAATTTGAGGTACAATTTTCTGTCCGAGTATGGTAATTATGTCAAATTTTGATCGACCAAGCGATACAAGAAACGATAGCGACAAAAATCTTGAGATTGAAGTATGCTAAAGAGCTGTTTAAAAGGTTTTGACCAATCACGTCGCTTGAATTTTCTGCTCCCGACGGGATTCTATTAACGAGAGAGTAAGTATTTACACCGACCGCCGGTCTACCTACAGTATTCACAGTTACAAAATTAGAGTGTGATCTATTTAATAGCAATTTCTGAATTTTGTCGATTGAAGCGGCTACAAATTCATCGTCATAGTGGGAGATTGGGAGGGATTCGCCCGAAGGAAGTCTAGATAAATGATCTGTAAAGCCCATATCTTTTCCCGGTAAATGCGTTATTTTAAAATTAAATGGTAAAAGTCCATCACCCAACGGGTCAATCGACTATGCATCGTTTTATTCTCGTGGTTTGCTGAGAGTGCTGATAGTAACGATTTATGGTCTGTTACTATTTGGAATTTAGTTCCATACAGGTAGTTTCTAAAGTGTTCAAATGCCCACACAACCCCCAGTAACTCTAATTCATTGGTGGAATACTTCATTTCATGGTTGTTCAAAAATCTAGATGCAAATGCGATTGTTTTCCACTGGTCTCCTTGTAGTTGTTCTAGGGTCGCACCTATTTCGTTGTGTGATGCGTCTGTTTTCAGTCTTGTCTTCTCTTTTATATCAAAGTGACTGTTCTGTGTATTATTTACAATTTCTGCTTTTAATTTTTCAAACGCTATTGAGTGATTCTTGTCCCATTTGTAAGCCAATTTTTTATTCAGTAAAGGACAAAGAGGGGAGCTTAGAGTCGATAAATTCGGAACAATTTTTACATACTGATTTATCGAGCCGAAGAACGAGCGTAGTTGGGAAAAATTCTTGGGGATTGGCAAGTTTTTTATCGCGTCTGCTTTACCGACCAATGGTCGTACTCCATCGCCGGAGATTCTGAAGCCAAGCCATTCAATTTTTGATTTGAAGACTGCGCATTTCCCCCATTTAACAGCCATATTTATCTTATCTAAGATTGATAAGATTTTATACACTATTGCTTTGTGTTCTTCCAAGGATCCCCTCGAAGCTACTAAAATGTCGTCTATGTAACAATTTGTGAAAGGGATATTTTTCAACAGTGAGTCCATGACCCGTTGGAATTCGTTTGGCATGTCCCCCAGTCCGTAAACTCCCGTTAAAAATCGATACGTTCCAGTAGTTTTGCCTCCTACTATACTAAATTTACACTGCTTACTCGTTTGTTCGCATAGTTTGAGTTGGCTGTAAGCATTTTTCAGGTCCAGATTGCTAAACCAAACTCGCCCGTTGGATTTCTCTGAGATTTGGAGGGCCACGTTATCTATAAGTTCGTGGATGTTCGGCATTTGGTACTTATTTTTAGAAATTTGATCATTCAATAATTTGGAGTCTAAAGCCAGCTTGATCGATGCATTTTTTTCCGAGTAATTACAATTGGGCTTATGAAACAATCTTCGTCGCATTTTTCTAATTTTATTATATGTTCTTCTGTCTCCATTCTTTTCAATTCTTCATTCACCCCAGCAAGTAAGTGAAGCGGGACTCTTCTCCCTTTGGATTGTACTGGTTTAAAAGGTGAGTGGAAATTTGTTATTTTTCGGTCGTTAGGTATTTCCCCACTCTAGTGAATAATTCTTTGAACTCATTAAAGATCTTGTCCGATAAAGAAGGTAAGTTTTTGTACTCACTGACAAGTAGAGGTTGGTTGACCATGCAAACTGGTTGGAGGAATTTCCTCTGCGTCACTTCTATACCAAGTTTGGGTAGGTTGTCGTTCCCCAGAATGTTTCGTTCATGTCCGCCAGTTATGAGGAACGGTGTTTCTTTGCTGATCCACCCATTGGATTGCGTCCTAACGATTATCTTCCCTAATTGTCATCGTCGCTCTGTCCGTACTCGTTCCAAGCATTTATTACATCACACGATTCTTGGTTCTCCGTCCACGAGTTTTCCGGGGGACGTATGTACAATTCTTGGTATTTACATAATTATCCATTACAGTTTTTACAGTGGGTCTCTTATTACGGGATTTACATAATTTGGCGAAGTGTGCTTTATAATTACAATTTTTACAGGTTATGTCCTTCGCTGGGCAGACGTTTAAGTGCCCGTTTGTAAAAGCGTTCCCACATTTCATGCATGAATTACTCCGTTCAATGCTCAGGCTTGGTTCCTTCTTGATCTGGTTATGATTATTAATAGATTTAAAAGTTGTCCCATTGGTCGACGATCGTGCCATGTTTGTCAACTTTTGGTGATTAAAATATCCCTTTTAGTCAATCAATGCTTGTGCTTGGTTAAGCGCTTCCAAAGGGCTTATGGTGGCTGAAAGTAATTTCCTCTGGGTATCTGTATTTTTCATATTACAGATGAAAATGTCTCTTATTCACTCTGCCTCGTCGGATTCCTTGATGTTACTTATACTAGCCAGATCCGTCAGGGCTCCCCAGAAATGTTCGTAAGATTCCCGATCTTTCTGCTTCCGATTTAATAATTTGTATCTTTCAAACGTAGTGTTGGGTGGTTTGTTTAAAGCTGCGTCAAGCAAAGTCCAGAACTCCGAGAAGGTTATTGACGATATCTTGACTCTCGGGTTCTTCTGTGAAAAGATTCTTTTTCCTTTGCTCCCTAAGGCTAGAAATAAAATTGAGTGCAGTTTCTTATCCGCCTCCGTTCGTCTCATTCCATTGACTTTCCTCTTTTCTTCGTTGATCCGCTTTTCTTCGGCAGATTCGTACTGTTTCATCGCGTTTTTGTTCCTCGTCTCTCTGTTGGCTCTTTCCGTGTCCAACTTGCTACCTGTTGCTTGTTCCAAAATGATGATTTGCGTTTCTGGAATTTCTGGCCCATGCAAGCTCTCTAAGTCCAGATTTTCTTTAGCAATAATCGCCAATTGAAATTGGTCGCTCCATTGGGTCCAGGTATGCGGTGGTTCTAAGGTATGATTAGGCCAAAAGGGGGGAATTCCACGCACGTTCGAATCCTGCTGACTGCGCCATAATAAACTATTCTAAAGCTATAGACCTATGTACAATTACTGTACATAAACTTAAAAGAATAAAACTAATAAAAGGAAGTGTGTAAATTAAGACGTTATAAAAAGGACAACTGATTTTGTCTCATATCGACCGATGGTCGCATCTAAATTAGTTAACAGGTATTAATTAAATACCGAAGGTCATTTAAAACAACTAAAACAAATCACAACAGGGGGGATAACAGGTAAATAGAATCGACTTTTGTTTAGGAAAACTTGTCTAAAAGGAAAAAACTTGTTTTTATTATTTCCCACCACAGTAGATCCACCCCCCCCCCCCCCATTGGAGAAACGACTGGTTGACTGCTGTTGATTTGTTTGCTACTTGCATTGGGGTTCTATTAGAAACAGGAGTCACCATACCTGTACCATGTGACAGCAGTAGTGTTACCTGTGCAATGAAGGGGGTGAGCATGGAGCCTATGCGGGTGAAGGCGGACCCAGTGCCCATTGCGAGGGAACGAATAGTGGTGGGGTACACCTCAGCAGTGTACACATACGTGGTCTGGTAGGCAGCCAGTCCGAAGATGCGGGAGGCAAACAGAGCAGCTGTGACCCACCCTCTGAACATATATTCAATTTCACTTATAGAGACAACTGCCATAATCGTAAACTTTTATCCATTAACCCGGGCTGAGCTGCTCCACTCATGATTCGGTCGAAAAAACTCTGTTCTCTGGAAGTCGAAACATTATTCCTCGGTCGAACATAGTCGAACCATAGATAGCTTGGGCCGATACGGTCGATCGAATTATTCCAACTTTTAGCCGAGTCGCGGGAGTATGAATCGCAAATCTCGACTCGTTTTTTAACAAAACCAATTTTCGGCCTAGCGGTCTGAACAAGTCAAGTTACAGTCAAATCGGTTACAGAACAAGTTACAGAACAAGTCAAGTTTCTGAACATTTTAAAATTTGGTCCCCAAGCGGTCTGAACACGACATCGACCTGGCCAATAAAATGACCGAAGTCCAGACAAACGGATAATTGTCGAACAAAGTCAAACAGAGTCCGGTTAAGTCAAACATACTCGATCAAAATTGAACAACTTCGAACAATGTCCGGTAAATTCGAACAGAGTCGAAAACGGACATCGCTCAGCTCAAAACGTAGAACAGGCTTTTGAACATCAAGTTAGCCCAAAAAGTCCAAAAGTGTTCAGATCTAGTAAGAGTATAAATGAAAAATAGCATGCTCAGGTCTATTTAATTCATTTTCTCATTATAAACCCAATGAATGGCGGCTACTCTCATGCACGAAGGAGTGAATATGCGAACACTTTCCAACAATCAACGCCCTTTAAACTCCAAAACTGACAGATTTTTAAACTGTACAAAGCACGTTTCTGTATTCTGAGCTCTGATTAATTGACAAATTGCCGCTAATAGGATCCTGTGCACAAAAGTGTACTTCCCAAAACTAAAAACTACGTGGGCTTGAAAATGCAAAACTAACAAAATGTTCTACTTAGCTAACTAAACTAAGAACAGGACTGCTCGTATCAGGGCGAAGCCCTGAATGATCCGACTGCCTTTTAAGGTCTATGGAGCAGTAATAACCTTAAAAGTTAAATGCAAATAAATGAAATGAATTTTTTTTAATTTGAAAATTTTTTTATGAAAATCATCCCCCCACACGCCATATTAAGTACAAAAAGATAGATTTTGCTCCTATTAACAAATCGGCGCACAGACAATTCGGCCAAAGACAATTCAACCAATTTGAAATTCAGACATTTCAGCCAGAAATATACAGACAATTCATCCTGAGACATTTCAGTCATTTTTACAAAACGAAAGAAAAAAAATCGGATTTGGAGATTTGCTCGGGGTGGGTTTTTTTTTTCTTCAGACAAATTTCGACTTTTTAACTAGCTATGTTTGACGGAATTTTAAAAAATCATTCGAAAGGTATTGTTGTCCTGAGCTTAAATTCGAAAAGATATTTCACCTGTGATCATTTTTCGTAAAGTTACGATGGTTTAAAGATTGCCATTTTGGCCAATTTGGGATAATTAACGCGCGATATATTTCGCGCTATTAACGCGTAAGCGGAGATTTAATCCGTCTTAGAAATCGTTTCAAATTGGTTGAAAGAAGCTTATTTGCCATAATTGATTTGTAGCAAGGAGCGAAATCTATCCTTTTGTACTTTATATGGCGTGTGGGGGGATGATTTTCATTTAAAAAAATTTCAAATTAAAAAAAACTCATTTCATTTATTTGCATTTAATTTTTAAGGTTATTACTGCTCCATAAACCTTAAAAGGCAGTCGGAACATTCAGGACTTCGCCCTGATACGAGCAGACTTGTTTCTCGGTTTAAGATCCTACCCTCTGTTGGCAAGCTAGCAACACGTTGGCGCGACTGCGGCGGTCACTATTATTAGCTGAATTGTCTGCATACTTTTGGCTGAATTGTCTGAATTTCAAATCGGCTGAATTGTCTTTGGCCGAATTGTCCGGACGTGTAACAAATCAATTATGGCATATAACTTTCCTTGAACCAATTGGGAACGAGTTCGAAGACGGATTGAATCTCGCTTACACGTTATTAGCGCGAAATATATCGCGAGTTAATTGTCCCTAATTGGCCAAAATGGCCAAATTGGCAATCTTTAAACCCTCTTATCTTTACGAAAAATGATAAGAGTGTTAAATATCTTAAGCCCAGGACAACAATAGCTTTCGAATGATATTTTAAAAATTCCGTCAAAAATGGCTAGTTAAAAAGTCGAAATTTGTCTGAAGAAAAAAACCCACGCCGAGCATAAATATTCCGTTACGTTTGTTAAGAAAAACGGAACAAAAAAAGAAGTTAAAATCAAAAATTGTTAAATTCAGTTATTCAGGTCTGTTTAGTGAATTTTCTCCTTATAAACCCAATGAATGGTGAATGGGGGCTACTCTCATGCGCGAAAGAGTGAATAAGCGAACACTTTCCCACAATCAGCGCCCTATAAACTCTGATTTTTACACTGTCCAAAGCAAATTTCTGAATACTGAGCTCTCATTAGTTGACAAATTATGCCGCTAATAGGGTCCTTTGCACAAAAGTGTACGGGTCTTATGCGTTAAAGGGCCCAAAATTAGGAAAACAGTCAGAAATTTTATTTCAAATTTAAAACACGTAATCAACATACAATTTTTTTTCATTTATTACATATTATACGAGCCAACCAGGATTAATCTCAGTATCAATCGAAATGGCTGACCTAGTTGCTCGAATTTGAGAATTTGATTGGCTAATATTAGCCAATCAGGATCAGTTTCAGTTTTAGTTTTCATTTTGCTTCAACTTTGATTTTTGTGCCGTTTAACGCATAAGACCCAAGTGTACTTCCTACTTCCTGGAACTAAAAAGTACGTGGGCTTGAAAATGCAATACTAACAAAATGTTCTACTAAGCTAACTAAACTAGGAATAAAAGAAGTTAAAACCAAAAATTAAACTAAAAACATAATCGTTTGCTGCTGAAAGCGTCAACTCAGTATCAAAGTCCAATTTTTTTTATTAACCGCGGTCCAGCTCCGACCTTTCAACCTTGGACCTTTTACTCCGTATGGGAGAGAGAAGAGGTGGATGACACTGGAAGGTGGCGTCCCTCATTCTTGAAGGACCGAACGCTTGAAATTATTTTAGCTTACTTTCAGCCAATCAGAATTTAGTATTCAAAATCTCAAAGAAAATCGCGAAAATCTCAAAGTAAGAAAATAAATGCAGGCCATTAGTGTTAATATTGACCGACTAGATAATAAGCAGATGAGTTTTCAAGACTGAAAAATTCTTTTAATTTTCACCTCATTAATCTTGATGATTATCTGAATAGTATTGCGGTTGTAACCCTCAATTTGTAATGTTTTTGAGTATTTTCAACTGATTCAATACACTTTCTGTTAATATTGAATTCGATTTTGTGAGAAAGGCATTTAGCCAATAGAAACGCTTAGCGTTTTTGATTGGTTGAAAATTTTCAAGCATTCGGTCCTTCAAGCATGAGAACCCTCCCCACACTGGAACCCTCCCCACACTGGAACCCTCCCCACACTGGAACCCTCCCCACACTGGAACCCTCCCCACACTGGAACCCTCCCCACACTGGAACCCTCCCCACACTGGAACCCTCCCCACACTGGAACCCTCCCCACACTGGATCCCTCCAACCATGACCAAAGCGGGATTCGTTCCCACGACCTTTATGTTAAAGGCCGCGATGGTCTTTGATTGGTTTGCAGGCCTCGAATGAATGTAAAGTACAGATACAAACTACAAGTCACAAAACTGTAAAAGTGTCATGAACTCACTTTAGAAGGAAAGGCTCTTTTGGCAAAAAATAATAGGCTACTTGGACTTGCGGCTATTTGAAATTAGTGTTCCATTCCTGCTGCAAAATGTACAAACGTGATGAAAAATCGAGGAACAGAATCACAGAAATTTACATGCATAGTCGAGCGGAGGTCAGGTATGGGTGTAGACTATTCGTTTGATGCTAAAAGGGGTGTGGCAGGAAGTGGGAAGTGTGAATGACGAGGGAGGATGTTTACCTGGGCATGCAGATGGAGACAGTGAGGACGAACAGGGCGAACAGGAAGAACTCGGCCGCCAAGGCTCTCTTTCGATCCACGACCTCCAAGAGAAGAAAGGCCACCACGAAACCTGAGATACACACAATATGTTTCACAATAAGTCAAAATAATGGTCTCCCCTCCCCGCACTGAGCGCCCATGAACTCTAGTCGATTATAATGGGTTCGCGATCATTAACCCCCTCCCAAAATCAACCAATAAATATATCCCCCCGTGTTCAACTATAAGGGGGGGGGGGGAGGGGTGAATGGCAGTTGTGGTTATTAACTGGCAGGGGAGGTAAACTGGTAGGGGGGTATGGGGAAGGTAAACTGGTGGGGGGAGGGGGCGGTAAAGTGAACAGCTTTTTCAATGTGAAATGTAACATTTTATGAAATATATGTAGAAACTGCCCTGAACAGGAAAAGAGATCACTTTTAAAAAAGTTGTATGTTTCATGAATAACGTCTCGAAAAAATCCATTGTAATCGATTATAATTGATTTATATGGATTAAATTGGCATAAAAAAACAAATATTATATTCCATTTTTAATGGATTGTAATTGATTATAAGGAATTTTATTGACATTAAAATATTAAGATTATAATCCATTTTTAATTATTTATAAGATTCTGTAAATTTATAGATACTGACCACATTATGGCTATATAACCGATTATGATCCATGGGCGCTCGGTGTGGGTCTCTTCGCACTTGAAATGAAAGTGTGACAAGCAAATCTATCAAACTATAGTTTGAACTGGACAACGACAGACAAGCTGCGTTGGGTGAGAAGCTAACGCAACTGCGCATGGGATCAAATTAACTATATAAAATGTTCTTGGCAGCGTGTTCGAGGCCCTCAGTCCAAAATGTTTTTACTATTTCTAAATATTCATTACTTAATCATAAACTAATAAACATAATAATAATCGATTTGAACCTTGTCTGACCTCGAAAAGACAGATTTTTGGCTGCTAATTTGAAACTACTATGATAGAGTGATCCCTCGAGTGACAGGTTGCGCATGCATTTGGTATGTGATAATTTTCAAAACTAGTTTGTTTATAAGTTAGTAACTTCAAAAATTTGGGGAAATATGGTGAGTCAGAAACCTTTCAGATTAAAAATTGTAATTACTTTGATTTTTACATCAAGAAATATGCTCGCTTCAACTTATTTTACGGTTTAAAAACCATAATTGGATTGGCTTATTTGATATCAAACAATTTATTTTGAATGTTCCACCTGAAAATATTGAGGGGGGAGGTTTTACGAAATAAACAAACATTGAACTTTTTTGAAATTATACAGCGATATCTTTCTGGAAGGCGAAATCATAAATGTTGAACATTTCAGAGCCCTGTGGCTTATTCCTCAAGGTACCTGATTATTTTCAAGGGACCACTCTATCATAGTAGTACCGCTAATTTTTGTGTTTGCTGTCAACCATGGCTGCTGAACTTGATATAATAAAGGTTGTGTTTGCGTTTAAGATTTATAGTGTGTGTTATTTTTCGATTCCTCCAGAAAATTTCCGATACTTTTTGAAACTATTATTGATTTGTTTGCTGTTTTTTTCCCGTTAAAGTCTCAATAAAGCGATACCTTTGATACCCGTTTTTTCTTGAACTAATGAAAAACCGATCTATCCTACAACAACCGGCCCCGAATGTGAGTGGTAGAAATATGGTCCACCGACCCGGACAGGAGCGGTTTCTGGATACGAGAGAGCTGACCCGGCTGACCTTGGAGCTCAGACCTCTTCTCGCTCTGTTTGGGGGGGGGGGTACGAGGATGTTCTCGCTAGAACTCATAGCGAGAAACACCAAGGTCGTAACTAATGAATTTTCTGGTGAACGAAGAACAGTGTTTGAAAAAGTCGAAAACTGAAAGATCCAAACAAAGTTCACAAGTTTTTCAGGTTTTCAGGCGCTGTTTTAAAGTTGATTTATTAATGTTTTCATTTTTGCGTATTTTATGTCATTGAATTCTGTTTTTAAATACTGAAATTTATGGCAGTTCGTTATTCTTTGTTGGCTTGTAATTTCCGATAATTAAGGTTAAATTACGTATGAAATGAAGTGTTGTAAATCAGCCAGCTACCCGAAACCGATCTGCCTCAGAACCGAAACTAATCACAAATATTCTCTTCCCAGATTAATTCAGACAATTGATTATTTCATTTCAACATCTGACTTAGAGTTCCATTACTGGCACTGGAGTTTTATGAATAATAATTGATTAATCGATTAGATTCGATTATTTTAGTCTGTGTCCCTAGTATTTGAAAACAAACGAATAACCATTTACTGTTTTTCAAAAGGAATGAATCAAAAGGGTAATAATCACCAGCGGATTTATGGGGGGGGGGGGGCGGACGCCCCCCCCCCCCCTCTTCCTTCAGGAATTGACACTCTAATTTATCTGTTTTATTCTTTTAAGTAATTGTACATTAGTTGTACATAACTCGTAGATTAACAGAATACTTTATTAAACCTATAAATATAAGAAAAGATAAAAAAAAATTTCTTCAGTTGATGAAATTTCCGGTAGATTCAACATCTACTCTTGAAGAATATGATCCATGTGAATCTTGAAGATTTTTTGAAAAAAAAAAACTAAATTTTCAATCTTGAAAGAAACATAAAACCAGCGGATTTAGGGGGGAAGGGGCGGGGGCGGGGGCGGACGCCCCTCTTAGGAATTCGACCCCCTGCCGACCCCAAGGGTCCCCCTTCGTACTAATTTGAGATATTCATTTTTGCTGACGCAGACTCTAAATTTTTTCTAAATTTGAAAAGGGAGCGCGCGCCAAAAAAACGCAATTTTTTGGTCGAACTTTTCCAAAAATTGCCTAAGAAACGCCTTTTTTGGCCTGTTTTTCTTTTCTAAATTTTGCATGCGGCGCAGAAAGATTGGTCAAAATGGGGTCTTTATAGTGATTTAGGAGAGCTCAGAAAATCAATTTCCTCGACATAAAATTTTGAAAATTCGCCCCCCCCCCTCTCGCGAAAACCCTAGATCCGCCCGTGGTTATAATAGTGGATTATTATGGAGAAAAAATTTATTAGCTGGTCTAAATTTGCCACTAAATATCTATACACAATTTTAGTCAAGCAAAACCCATTAAAAACAATTCTTACCAATATGACCATCAATGTGGTTTTCAGATCTTTTAACTTATTACCGGGCTAAAAATTTAAAATAGGCATTTTCATTTTATGATGTTAATTCAGGAATGATTTTATAGTTTTTGTCTTCGTAAGTTTTCAATTTTATGCCATTTATAGCATGATTAATTGGTTTTTCAAATTTTTTTTGTGTATAGAATCCCGCATTGGAGTTCCATGAATAAAACTTGATTATAATTGAGTTTCCTTGTCAGTGTCCACAAAAGTGAAAAAAAATCGATTATAATCAATTAAAAATGGATTATAATATTACTATTTTTCGAGGCAACAAAATCCTTTTTTCATCCATCATAATCAATTATTTTTTCACTTTTGTGGAAACTGACAATGAAACTAAATTATAATCGATTTTTTCCACTTTACTGAGATGCGAATTTCAACGCACATAGTTTTTTCTATGTTTTAAATAAAGTTGGTTACGTTGGTTACTTGTTGTTCAATTGAATTTTTTTCTACCTAACTTTGATATTTTCATGTGGGGGGAGGGGGGTTCATGTGGGGGTGGGTTTAGGTGGGGGTGTGGGTTCAGGTGTGGGTGGGGGGTATGTGGGTTCAGGTGGGGGGGGGGTAAGTTGGTTCAGGTGGGGGGGGGGGGGTATGTGGGATCAGGTGGGGTGGGGGTTGTTCAGGTGGGGGGGTTGTATTGGTGGGGGTGTTCAGGTGGGGGGGGTGTTCAGGTGGGGAGGTGTTGAGTGAGGGGGGGGGGGGGGGGTTGAGTGTGGGGGGATGTTGAGTGGGGGGAGGGGAGCAAAGGGGCAAACGTTGGGGGGAGGGAGAGCTCAACGGTTTGAGTTTAGGTTTTGAAATGGATTAGGCCAGGCCGTACACTCACTTTGCAAAGTTTCCGCATCACTCGCTTGATAAATGCTGAAATTCTTGAGAAATTTTGCACGACTCGCGAAAAAAAAAATAAAGTGGAACAAGACTACTCGTATCAGGGCGAAGCCCTGCATGTTCCGACTGCCTTTTAAGGTTCATTGAGCAGTAATAACATTTAAAAAATAAACGAAATGAAACGAAATGAAATTTTTTTTCTAAATTTTGAAAATTTTTATGAAAACCATCCCTCCACACGCCATATAGAGTACAAAACGATAGATTTCGCCCCTTGTCACAAATCAATCATGGCCAATAAGCTTCTTTCAACCAATTTGAAACGATTTCTAAGACGGATTAAATCTCCGCTTACGCGTTAATAGCGCGAAATATATCGCGCGTTAGTTATCCCAAATTGGCCAAAATGGCAATCTTTAAACCATCGTAACTTTACGAAAAATGATCACAGCTAAAATATCTTTTCAAATTTGAGCTTAAGACAACAATACCTTTCGAATGATATAAAAAAATTCCGTCAAAAATGGTTTGTTAAAAAGTCGAAATTTGTCTGAAGAAAAAAAAACCCACCCCGAGCACAAATTTTCAGTTACTTTCGTATCGAAAGTCGGAACAAAAAAAATACATTTTAATGCGATTTCCTACTTATAATAAAATCCATTATAATGGATTCAAAATGATTTATAATGCATTTTGTTTTGGCGAGAAAAAAAGGATTTAAATCCATTTTTAGTCCAACTTTGTTGTCTGAACGTAACATGGGAATCGATTATATTCACAACCTTATAGACCACGAAAATCCATTATAATCGATTGAAATTGTTTTCACTTTTCTTAAATACGGGATCAAACCCAACTTTAGTAAACCGTTTTTCATTATATACGTTTTTCTGTTTTGATGGAAAAGACTTCAAATACGCAATAGATTAAAATAAATTTTATGATTTGAATTCGAATTCAAAGAAAGCAATTCAATATAGCTATACCTGCAACCAGTTAATCCGTTTCTTTCAAATATTACTCTGCGATTGATTATTTTTGATCAAAGCTCCATATCGATC